TGCCGCCCGAGCATGGCCGTCTTCGACACCCCGCAGGAGGCCTTCGGGGCCCTGCGCCCCGTCTGCGTGCAGCTGACGAGGGCCCAGACCGTGGAGAACGTGGCGCGCCTGCAGGCCCACCTGGCCGCGGTCAGCACCTCGGCCCTGCAGGAGCTGCAGGAGTACGTCCTCTTCCCCCTGCGCTTTGCCCTGAAGGTACCGGGGCCCAAGCAGGAGCGCCTGGTGCAGAGTGTGGTGCAGTGCATTTCCTCCATTCTCGCAGCAACGTGTGTGAAGAAGCAGGAGCTCCTGCAGGAGCTTTTCTCTGAGCTCTGTACATGCCTCTCCCCCCCTTCTGGCTCAAGCAAACCGGTCTCGCTGTCAGAAGAGTTAAAGCTGGCTGTAATCCAGGCACTCCACACCCTGATGCATTCAGCTTATGGGGATGTTATCTTGTCTCTCTATCAACCTTCTACCCTTCCTCTCTTAGGATTTGCTGTTTCTTTGCTTCTGGGCCTAGCAGAGCAAGAAAAAGCAAAGCAAATTAAGATCTCTGCTTTGAAGTGCTTACAGGTCCTAGTTCTGCAGTGTGACTGCCAGGAGCATCGATGCCTGGGTGAAGACGAGGCACAGCGATGTGGGGATTTGTTTGCTTCTTTTCTGCCTGGGATTTCCATTACACTGTCTCGGGTTATTACTGGAGACATCAAACAAGGTCACAAACCCACTGTTTCTGCCATCAGACTCTTTTATCTGATTGTTGGCTTGGTAATGGCTGATGCACAGCTAGCCAGAATCCCAAAGAATAAAGAAAAGCTGCCAGTGGAACAAAGCAGAATATCAGAACTAATGGTCCATAGAGGACCTGACTGGAGTAAAAGTACTGCTGAAAAAATCTCTCTCCTTCTGCATAAAATGGTTGAATTTTCTTCAGTTCACCCCCACTGGAAAGTGAGACTGGAGCTGGTGGAACTGGTCCACCACTTACTGAGGAACTGCAGTCAGTCGCTGGTGGACTCGTTCAGTCATCTTTTAAAAGCCTTGGTTGGGCTGGTGAATGATGAAAACAGCGAAGTCCAAAGCAGGTGTAATGAGGTTCTGCAAAGCATTGCAGAGCAGAGGATCATAGCACAGAACAGGGCTCTTGCTGATGTCCTCTCTGAGAACCTCCATTCCCTTGCCACAGCTCTTCCTCGCCTGATGAACTCTCAGGATGACATGGGCAAGGTTTCCACTTTGAGTTTGTTGCTTGGCTATCTGAAGCTGCTGGGCCCCAAGGTCAACATTGTTCTCAACTCCGTATCCCACCTCCACCGTCTGTCCAAAGCGCTGATGCAAGTTCTGGAGCTGGACGTGACGGATGTGAAGATTGTGGAAGACAGACGCTGGGGCTGCGAGAGCACATGCGGACCTTCGGGCTTCTTGCAGCATGGTGTGCAGAAGGGCAGGTGTCAGAAGAAATATTTCCGCTTCTTCACGGAGGAGAAAGTTTTCCAACTCCTTCAGCAGGTTTGCCGTGTTCTTGGCTACTATGGGAACCTCTATTTGCTTGTGGATCATTTCATGGGGCTATACTGTGAATCTGGCATGTACCGAAAGCAGGCAGCGATGGCCCTCAATGAGCTGATTGCAGGAGCTGCTGGAATGGGAGTGGATGTCCTTCAGGAAAGGGAAGTTTCACTTAACATGGATGATCTCAAAGGGTCCATAATGTCCATTCTTGATGAATACACAGACCAGGCGAACTGGTATTTGATCACTAGCATTGATACAGAAGAAATCGGCCATCAGCACTCTGTGCAATGTTCAGGACTTGCTGCCCATCCAGGAGGCGTGTGCAGCAGCATTCTCCTTCCGTCCCCCCCAGAGCCGCAGGTAACGACTCGCACCATGAACAGCAATATCTGGCAGATCTGCATACAGCTAGAAGGTGTTGGCTGCTTCGCTGCTGTCCTTGGGAAGGAGTTCCGGTTGCTTCTGCTTTCAGCTCTCTACCCTGTGTTGGAGAAGGCTGGTGACAAGACTCTGCTCATCTGTGAGACGGCACTGGGGACACTGGTAGACATATGCGAGGCCTGCGGTTATGACTCCTTGCAGTGTTTGATTAATGAGAATTCTGACTATCTGGTGAATGGGATTTCCCTGAATTTGCGCCAGCTGGCACATCAGCCACATGCTTCCCAGGTCCTGGACACTATGCTGAAGCATTCAGATGCCAGCTTGCTGCCACTGATAGAAGATGTTATCCAAGATGTCCTGTCTACACTAGATCACTCTTACAACAACCAGGCTTCCACTTTCCTCAGGGTCCTCCACTCAGTAATGACAGCTTTAGGTATCAAAATGATGTTTACTCTGCACAATTCATTCTTACTGTAACTAAGGGTACTTGTCTTTGACCTTTCAACTTGACATGGGAGATTTCAAGTAGCTGAGGTACTGCAGCGTGATGGCAGTTTTGCTTTGCTTGGAGGGCCAGTTCTGAAGCAAAGATCGCCAATAGCTTCCCCTCTCTATAACCAGTTTCTGTTTGTCTGGCCTGCAGACTTGCAGGAACATGGCCTGTAGTGGGTGAGAAAGGATGAATTTACTACTCCCATAAATGTTCTGTAGAAACACATGGAGTGTATTCCTTTTTATGTCAGGGTTTTAACATTCTCATACCATCAGGGAGGTCACAGTGATGTGACAGCAGGTGCCTGATTCTGTAGTTCAGTCCCATGAGACTGGAGAGTCATATTCATCTCTCAAGGAATGTGGTACTTTGTTGACTTGGAGGAGGGGATCGTGATTGCTGGGTGACATACCAGTTCCTTTTTTGCAGTCCAGTGGTTTGGATCATCCTGTGGTGAGGAACAGCAACAAAGGCAGACTGCCAAGTGGCAGGGCAGGACTTTATCTCACGGGCAGCAGGTGCTGACAAGGCAAGAAGTGGAGCGATTCTTTCTCGACTATATCAGACAGAAGCAGATCGCAGAGGGCAATCTTCCTGACACAGGGGATGAGGATACAGGTCAGTACTGTGCATGACCGGAGAAGAGTATGTGGCCATAGTGGTGTTGGGTTGACAGTTGGACTTGATGATCTTTAAGGTCTTTTCCAAACTAATGATTCCATGATTCTGTGAACTTGGAGAAAGACAGTGACCTCTGAGGTTTCCTTTTGTCAGGTGGGGGACTTGGGACCACGCCTAAAGCCTAGCACACTCCTGACAGTCTCAGGTCTGCTTTGAGCTGACCTTAGCTCATGTAGGGTGCTGCTGGGTGTTCTTGCTTTGTTCTATGCATGGGGGCGGGGGGAAGTGAACTGTTTGCAGATCAAGGCTTGTCTAGCTCTAAGACACAAGCACATGGTGTTTCTCCTTACCTCATAACAGGCCTTTTCAGTTCAGGACCCAAAGTTTCCTTTTTCCAGGATCCTACTGCATTTTCCTCAGCCTCCCTTGGGAATCCCTGTACCATTTTCTCCTGGCTAATGATGCCACCACTCCCTTCTCACCTGGCCTTGGCAGGCCCTGCAGACATTCATATAGGGAACTTTATAGTCTTTACTGGGCTATGCTGCAATCCTGACCTTTAAATACTTCATCTTTAAATACCCAGTCTTTTCCTTTTTAATAAAAATCAATGGGAAATAAGTCCATGGTGAGGACAGACTGCAAATGTCAGACCAACTGCATTGTCCAGTAAAGAAAGCAAACCTTCCCTAGTCCCACACTCTTAACTGATTCTGACACTTAATTCACAGAAATCAAGCATAGACTTAACTACATCTAAATATGTTAAAAAATGCCAAAGGCCTCACTTGGGAATTTGCAGAGTAATTGTGGGTAGGTATTATGACCTCCCAGAACTCCCAAGTCATTTTCATTGCTTCAGTAATGGTTTTGTCTTCCAGATGAGGTTCCCCCACTTGCTAAACTGGAGCCAAACAACTCTGACACAGAAGGAGAAACGCTGCTGCCAAGCCATGCTCAACTGGCCAAAGATGTGCTGGAGAGATGCATCCACTTGCTGTCGGACAGGAACCTCCGAGTGCGGCTGAAGGTTAGTAAATGCCAGCTTTGAGGGGACAGGTGGTGCCCATGAAGGGGGCTGGTAGTTCATCAACATGTGCACGATGCGTGTTGGGCTTCCTGCTGTAATGAGGTTAGTGCTGCCATATGCTAATTCAGAACAGACCCTCCCAGTGTTGGTGAGAGAAAGGGACAGTTTTCTGGGAGTAGTCTGGTTTAGGAATGACAGCCAGGCTGAACAGAATCTTAAGGCTGGCTTCGTGTCAGGCACCTTCCCTTGATGCTTATGATAGTCAAGTCTTGTGCCTCAGCCTTTGGTGGAGGAAGCAGAAGCATCTTTCTCCCATCTAGGCCTCCCATCCCCCTTCCTCAGACTGTAGTTCACAGACTGATGAACATTTCTGAAGTTGCTGGAGTGACGATAAGTAGAGCTAAAAGCCTGGGTTGTTTTTTTTTAATTATGAAAATCCTTTGAAGGTGGCCTCCTTTTGAACTGAAAGCGAGACAGAAAATGCGGCAGTGAGGCGCAACCCAGATTCTCACCGCAGAGGCCCCAGCCCTACCAGGTGATCCTGCTGCTGTGCCACAGGAGCAGTAGGGTCCTAGTGCACAGCTCAGCCTGCAGGATCAGGCTGGGAATCACGCCCTGGTTCCAGCCCAGCTCTGTAGCCCAGCACGAGTTAATGTCACTGTGCTACTTGTCCCTTTCCAAACAGGGCTGTGCTCCATGTTCTCTTATCCCAGTTCATGCTGAGGTAAAATTGTACCCTTTTGTATTAAAACCTTTCTTTCTGCTGGCTCCTCATTGTGACACTGGGGATCCACCTGAATGCCTGGCGCTGCTGGCACTGCAGCATGCTGAAAGTCTGTTCCCTACCCCTCCTGCCCAGGTCCTGGACGTGCTGGAGCTCTCTGTAACTGTGCTGCATCCTCACGGAAACCATCTGCTTCCCATGGCTCATCGTGTCTGGCCAGCTCTTGTCACCCGGCTGATTAGTGATGACCCTCTGGCAGTGCTCAGAGCCTTCAAGGTACAGCAGCGAATCTCTGCCAACAGCCTTCAAGCTGGTGCTTAGAAGGCAAGCGGCTCAGGCATTGCTGTGGCCTGTGAGAGAAGCATTGAGCTTGTGGAATGACTTTTAAATGTGGTTTGGAACACAGGGTCACCACCCTGCAGTGGGTAGGCTTGTACCACTCCCACTGCAGCTTGTCCACAGATAAAACCTTGACACTGTTCCTGGGGGAAACAGCAATATTAGTGGTTATTGCAGGGAAGAGGAAAACAGTTCTTTGACAGCCTAAGCAGCTGTCAGAGGCACCATATAGTGCAACTTGCCCTTGCTGGAGCCACAGTCTCAGGACACCCCCTCTGGAAGTTTTAGACTGAAGAGAAGGGATTGTTTCACGATTGAGGCATTGGCATGGGAGGGGAGAGGTTAAGCAACGACTTAGCCTCGTAATAATGCTATTAAAGAGCTCCTGACCACATCAACTGATTGCATTCTCTTCCTGACTCACAAGCTGGACAATAAAGCATGTTTCCAGAGGTTGCCAGCCCCAGGGTTTCACAGGGCTTCCTCTGCTGTACAAAATGAGTTTCATTTTAGAATCCTTCAGTGCGTCAGTGTGAATAAAAGGAGAGTTTTGATTTCCCGAATTCAAGAAGCCATACACTAGAATTTTGGAGTAGCCATACCTCACATGTGCCTACCATAAAAGAAGGGAGAGATTGCTGCACAAAAACTATTTAAATCTTGAAAAGTTCAAGGGATCATTACAGTTAGCACTGAGATTGGGGTTTGTTACAAGAAATCTGCCCAGAGTGGCTTCCTGCCGAAATCTCAGAACACGAAGTGTAGTATCAGTGTAAGCCAAATACAACGTAACCGTCATCTCAGTCCTGCACACTAAGACCATGAGCTTAGTGAAGTTCCAAGAGAGAACTGTGTTCTGGCCATGTGGGTTGGCGCCATGGGTCCCCGCTTCGTTTTTACACGTATTTAAGGCCATTCTCTAGGCCAGTTTGGTTTTTAGCCTGGGCACACACTGGTAATGCTGGGTATCCTATGCTGTAGCCACTTGGCCTTCCTGTTCCCTGGCGTGCTTGTGAAGATGGACTGTTTCCACCACAGAGGTGATTTATATTTTAATGGCATGTTCCATCAGAGGCTTCTCCAGCAATTCTCACGAAGACTTCATAAGCTGCTCCTACCTTTACTGTGCTAATGAGAGAAGGGCAGTCCCAGGAGGTTAGCCGCATGAAACTGAAGAGCAGGGAGCAGGTCACCCGGCCTCTCCATCAAGCATTCACCTTCTGCTCTTATGCGAAGCTGTGATAGGTGTGATCACGTTGCTCTCAACTGCAAAAGAAATTACCAAGGGCAAATGAATACCTTGTCCCCTGAGCCAGTGAGGATTGCTGAGCTCCTCCCAGACCTGTTTGTGCACTTATCCTCCAGAACTGATGTTTCTCCACTAGGTGCTGTGTACTCTGGCTCAAAAATGTGGGGAATTCCTGAGGCAGAGGTTCTCCAAAGACGTCCTGCCTAAGCTGATCAGTTCCCTCCTCAGCCAAGCCCCAGCAAGTGCCAGAGCCGGGCCTGTGTACCACCACACGCTTGCCTTCAAGTTGCAGCTGGCTGTGTTGCAGGGACTGGGTTCTCTGTGCGAGAAGTTGGACATGGGTGAGTACCAGGGAAAGTACAGCTTGTATGAGATCTCTGCCAAACTTACCTCTTCTCCTTTCATCTCAACTGACCAGGCCGACACTTGCTTCTTATCCTTCTGCTGCCCCATGGGATTGATTTCCTGATCTTCTCCAGCCTCATTCCATTTGGGTCCTTCGGGGCCTTAATCTGTCCTCTTTGAGAGCTCTGTAAAGAGGGGCTGGTGGCTTTTTACTCCCCAAGAGACAAATGAGAGAGAAGATTCCCAGCACCTTGCAAAATCTAGCTGCTCATCTCGCTTCTGCATCAGAAGTGGGTATAAAGCAAAGTGCCTGGGTTGCTGCAGCTAGGCCTGTTGGGCCATGCTTTGTTCTTAATTAACTGAAGAACTGGAGCCTGTATAAGACTTATGCCTAAGTTGACTGGTTCCATTTTGGGGCATCTCTCTGGGAGACCCTTTAAATGCAGCACATCACATTCTTCTACTGAATGAAACTCTCGGAAATTCTCCTAGGTTAAATTTCTGGAGCTGACTTTGATGAAGGAGAAGGGTTGCTGGCTAGTTGTTCTTTTCCTCTCTCGATGCCGTTGATTGCTTTCCTAGCTTTGCAGCAAGATGCTTAAGAGGCGAGGTCAGAAGAGCTCTGGGTCAGACAGTTCAAAGGCTCAGAAGCCACTTGCTACCAATTTAGAGCTGATTCTGTTAGGCAGCAGCCGCTGAGTGGGTTACCTCCTACCCTTCTTTTCTGTTCCATTTCTGCAGGCGAGAGTGACCTGAATAAAGTGGCAGATGCCTGCCTGATTTACCTCAGCGCCAAGCAACCCATGAAATTGCAAGAAGCTGCCCAGAGGTAATGTCTCTTAAATGCAGGTGTATCAGGTGTACAAGTAACACGGGACAGAGGGAGCACGGTAACCCCTTTCCTTTTGCACCTTTCCCATCTCTCCTCTGGCATGTTTTGAGTCCTGTACAACAGGGTCTCTCATGGAAGTTAACTGCTTTCTCTGGTAAAGTATCAGTTACTACCCAAATTGAGCTAGAGAGGTTAGCTTGCTCACAAGTTACAGTTGACTTTCATATTACCTGCCAATGCATTTGGGGACAGAGGGGGAAGATGTGCTACTTGCTTTTTTCTAACCGCCTCGTATGCTAGAACACTTGGGGCTCTCGGCCCACTGGTGGCATAAGAGTGCAGAGTGGGAGACAGCTATGCCAGACATTCCCATGTATTTTATCACTTAATACCTTCTGCAGGCTGGGGGATTTACTTCTGTTATCCTTCCATTTTCCCTGGGGTCCTCTGATCACGTCAACCCAGGCTCTGCCAGGTGGAGAGACAAACAGGAGTTTGTTTGGGAAGCTGTCAGTCTTCGCACCAGTCTTGCTCTGAGAAGGCTGGGAGAGGTTAAAAGAGCACAGACAGTTTAGGTGAACACACATCAGCTCTATGAAGTGTTGACAGACATACTTTGCTGCTTGGTGTTCAAAATCCTGCTCAACATGTTCCTGCTGTCAGGATAAGAAATCGCTATCGTTGTATTTTGTCACCTGGAAACAAGGCCAGAGGTTTCAGCAGACAAAACAAGTCCAGTTACAGAACATGGGAAGTGAGTAAGAAAGCCATGCACCTCTGAAGGACGGGGTAAAAGCCCCGCTCTGTCTGTGTGGCCAACGCTCCCCTCCCCTGAGGGGGGAGGAAGCCTGTGGTGAGCAGGTTTAAGGCACTGTGGATTTCAGAGGGCAGGCTGTGGAAGAGGGAAAAGCTGCCTGTTCCCTCTCACCTGAGCGCAGGCCTCCTGGAGGTGCAGGCTGTTGAAGGGCTTTTGTGTGGCTGGGCAGCAGTTTAGAGGGAGAGCGCTCTCAGAAGCCGTAGCTGTACCTTTGTTTGTATTCCTGCGCTGGTGAGAGTAGGTTTATTTTTACCTTCGTGGCTTTTATTGCATCGCAGCAGGCTTCAGCAGCATTTGTTCTGCAAAGGGGTTCTTTGCTGTAGGCTTGCATACCCTTAATACAATAAAGCGTTCATCTGTGTAAGCAATGCTGCAATGGAAAGCAGAACACCGGGATTTATCTAGATATTTGGAATCTTGAGCTTTTAAATCATTAACAAAACAGTCTGAAAAGCTGTGCAATTTCCCCCCCCAGCAGGGGTGGGGGAAAATACTGAATTAACCCTATGATGTGATAGGGTCATTAGAAGCTATATTGTAAGCAAGCTCACTGTTACTGGAGAAAAAAGGGCAGCAAAGTTCAGGGCAAGTAACATTTTTCTCCTTTATATTATTTTTTATTCTATTTCAAGGGGAAAATGTTGTATGTTACACTGCTTCCCCTATGCCTTTGTTGCACCATACATTACACGTGGACAGCTATCTCACATACAGCTCTGTTGGCCAGACACATACATGCACCGAGGCGTGCATCATGTCCGGCCTGATAGTAACCGTGTATATGGCATATGGCGGTAGTTGTAGTTTTCTTTCTTTTTTATTCTTTTTTTCATTTAATCCTGTCTGATCCCTGGTCTTGGAACCTGGATCAGGGTTAAACATATCACCATCCCTTTTAACTATAGTACACATCAGAGGTCTCAGCTTGGAAAAGTCAAAATTCGTTTGCACCATAAAGTCAGCTCCAGCGCCAGGGTAAGGCTCACTTCTCAGCCGTGCTTCAGTTTCCTTTCTCCAGCTGCTTAACCACCAGATTCCTGTAAGCTCCAGTCCTTTTCCTTGCTCTCCACGTCCCTGAAAGTAATCCTGCAAACTGACATAGGTTGTCACATGTAAGGCCCTTTCCATCTAGGCAAGGGCAACTTTATCAGACTGATACATGAAAAATTCTGCATTTTAAATGCTTCTAAAAACAGATAGGCCAGAACTAATCTTAGCCACAGCATGAATGCCAACATACCTCACATAACTCAGCTTTATCACTGCAGAAATCATACAAGGTAAAAAGATGTTTTGAATCAGCTTGCCATATTGATTTATACTAACTGGCCTTTGCTCAGCTTTTTGGATTCATACTCAACTCATGAGCTGTGACCTGCCAAGAACAAGGTCAGGTCTTACAAAGTCAGTTGCAGCCCCAGTAACTCCCTAACTCCCTGTACCAACTAAGTGAAGATTCCGTAAGTATGCAAAGGGCTAAGCAAGAATTTTTGGCCAACTCACTGGAGCCACAAATAAAAAAAAAGTTTTGGCTGTCTTCCAAGGATGTTATCATGCCCCAAGGAGGCTGCTTAATCCCATTTATGGGACCCTGTAGTTTTATTAGATGAACCAGTGGGAGTAAGTGAATTTTGTAACTGCAGCTCCATGCAATACTCAACAGGCAAAAATAGATGCTGGGAAAAAAAGAACTCCAGCATGTCTGAAGAAGAGAAAATGGGACAATTTGCTTTATTATTAAATGACTGCTGGGAATATTCCAGGGGAGGAATATTATCCAAAGCTTGAGGAAAAAAAATACTGAAAAGGCATTTGGGAACGCTGGGGAACACTAGATACATCTTTGCTTTCATTGAAAATAAGCCAGTGCCACTGTGGGTAAAGTGACCAGAAACAATTGAGCAGCTGAGGCATGCTGGTGTGGGGCCAAGCATTGGGAACAAGGCAGGGGGTGTAAACTGAAAGTCACAATATGTAAATTGGAGCTTCTCATCAGTTTATTAGGTTGCATCATCCCTGAGAAGCTTTTCACTTTGGGGGGAAAAAAGAAAATTTTAAGGAAAAGTGATTAAGAAATTGTCATTGGCCTGTGCAAAGTGTTGACAAATAGTTCTGCATTTTTTCAGTTTGAAGTGACTGTTTTGAAATTAACACTTAATTCCTAATAAGTGTTTACAGCCTGTGAAGTTTACCATTTGACCTTTCGGTCAACAGTCTGGATAGGAATGTTTTTTTTTCCCCAGGATGCAGCAATAATTTCCCCAGTTCTTACTGAAGTCTGTGGTGAACTGTATTTAGTTAAACATTCAGCAGAGATGCCAAAGCCAGCAAGACTTGTCCTTTCGCCAGCCTGTTCATTGTGCCATGCCTTTGCTTAGAGCTTGGGAAAAGACAAGGCAACAGAATAGCCAAACTCTGCTCTGTGCTAGTAAAATAAGTTGTGTAGCACAACTGGAACAAATATGAGCTATTTTTGGACCCTTTTAGATACCAAAGTTGATTATGCAGCATACCTTTTTTGGTTTGATTGTGTAGTTTATTCAATACTTATTGACAGCTGTCATTCCCAAGCTGGGCTAAAGTACACTAAAACAGCCACCTGCACAAGGCAAAATTCAATAAAATGATATTTAAGTAAAAAAAAAACCCACAACAACAGAAAACAAACCTGGATTAACCCCAGGATTCTTTGCCATGGAAACAGGTTGCTTAGAAACTACCCCAGAGCTAGTTTGAAAATGTAAAAGTCAAGTTGTTCTTTAAGCTGCACAGCACTCCAGGTTATCAGGAGATAATCACGGGCCTCAGGCCATTACGGCACAAGAAGCAGTGGAGTTCTGCAGGGACCAGCTCATCTCTTGAGGGTTGCTCTCTCCAGAGCAGCTGATTGGGACGAGGTTGGAGAGCAGGGTATCTTTGCTGTGAGTACAAGAGGTAAAGTTGTGCGTGGGCCGGAGAAGCAGAAGCCAGCTGAGTAGCATTCCCTGTTCCTATGTTTCCTTCCCAGCAATTCATCTGTCTTGCCCAGTCCTATCCACCCCAGCCGTAAGGAGCAGGGATTATTTCTGTGCAGCTGCCCAGCAGCCGCCCATCATAAGCTAGGGGAAGCCACTGGGGCCCGCTGTTTGCTGGCAGGCCGGCGGCAGCACGCTCGCTCTGTCGTGGCCAAGCGAGCGCCAGGAGGGCACTGGCAGCCGGCAGAGCTTGCAGAGCTGGTCCAGGGCCGTCAGCAGGCGCGAGCTCTAGACCCTGCCCCAGCGAGCCTGCCTGCACTTCACTCAGGCTGGCACCTGGGAGGCTGGCACTCGGCTCAGGCCAGTCCTCCCTTCGCCAGTCAGCAGAGCGGCAATAACAAAGCCGGGGAGCGGAGAGCCCCGGGAGCCCGCCTGCGTCTGGCTCTCCCCTGGAAAGAAGGCCCTTTGCTGAGGCAGTTGTTGCCAAGCTCAGCTATGGCTTTGGGGCGCGTTCACGCGGGGTTCCTCTGGAGCAGACAGACGAGCACTGCAAGCACGTTCAGGAGGGGACACTGCCAGCAACTTGCAGGGGCAATGCCTTCCCTCATTGCTGTTCAGGGACCGGCCCTGAGAGACGGGCAAGTGGTCAACGGCAGACAGGCAAAAGCAACAACTTTGGCTGCTCGGGGTACTGCGAAGAGATGAGGAAGTTTTCTAGTGCCTTCATCTCATTTCTGTGCTTTTTCCGGTTACCCATGGCACTGCACTCTGTTTCAGAGGAGAGCTTCTAAAAAGGATTTCTGCCTGCTCTACATAGGAAGCAAGCTCCCTTTAGGGATAAGAGTTCTTCAGGGAGAAGTTTTGATAGCAATCAGGTCTGGATTTTGTGTGGCTTTTGTAGATGATCTTCGATTTTAGAGAGGGGAGTTATGTCCTGTGCTTCTTGGGGGAACAGAGACTGACCTACCCTCTGATTTCACGTTACCTCACCCAGCTGTTGCTCTCCTCCATGACTTCAGGAGAAACTAGAGACCTGAAGATGTGTGGCTAGGCATTTACTGAGGTCTTGAAAGCTGACATGCAAGTTTGGCGAGTGCTGAGTACCCTTGGTGCTCATTGTCTCCAGGGGAGCACAGAGTACTCAGCACCATGCAGGAAGAGGCCTTGCAGTGCTGTCAGGGCAGCCTACAAATTCTAGTTTAATTTTGTACATGGCACAGCCAGAGAATGTAATACCAGTTAAGCCCGATATACCTTCTGTGCATTAAACCCTGACACAGACCCAGCCAAGCCCAAAGGTTACAAACAATGAGAACTGGCAGGAAGAAATGAGTAAGTGTAGGTCGTGCAAATCAGCCGTTTGCTCTTTTGCTCCTAGGAGCTTCCTGCTCTCCAGCAAGACTGTCCACAGCACCTTTGTTACAGCAGCTCACAGCTGGAGTCAAAAGTGTGAAGTGCATACTCAAAAGTCAAATCCCCATCTTACCCAGGGTATTGAAATTCAAAGTGAAAACCATCAACACAGCAGTAAAGCATTAGAGGAGGTTGTAATTCCTCTCCTCCTCCATTCTATTGTTAATGAAGGCTTATTTTTTAAAAAGAAAATCCTACTTTTTGAAAGGTGCTGTACAGAAGGAAGAAAATGTGGAGGCAGCTAATAAGGGCTTGGGATGAGGGTAGACCTCACATAAGCAAAAAGCCCTCCATGCAGTATTCAACTTTACTTGTGGCCCAGCCTGGACAGCTGTCCAGAAATACCTTTGTTTTTACCACCTCTGAAAAGGGACAGAAGGCAAGATGGGTTGACCTCCTCACTCCCAAAAAAACCAGAGAGGGTGGTGAACAATATAGACAGCTCTTTAAGAGCTCTGCAAGATCAATTGTCCTAAACATGCTGGATGCAAGTAGCACGTGCAATACTCTGCAGCCACCCCTCCAGCACTTGGGACAGGCTGATTTATAAAGGCTTTTGCCAGCAGCAGCCCATGGTGCCGAGATCGAAGCCTGGGTCAGTTATTCACCAGCTGCTTGTCTGATGTTGATAACTTAACTGTGTAGCATAATAACTATTTTTCTCCCACTTGCCGGTGATGTGAAACCACTGAACTGTCTTCGCTTGGGCACAGCCATTTTAATGGCTCTCTCTAATGAGCCTCCAAGTCTGTTCAACTGTCAGATGTTGCAGACAACATCAAAGCTTTCCACAGCTCCCTGTTAATGACCCTGTTGGGTGCCGATCAAAAGGCCTTCTCCTTACTCTTCTTTCCTTTCTTCCCACTGTTTTCCAAAGCGTTTTCCTCCACTTAATGCACATGGACCCTGACAGCACCTGGCTCCTCCTGAACGAGGTCTGCTGCCCTCACCAGTACAAGCCCCCCCATGTCAGCCTGCGGCCTGTGAAGCTGAGTGGGATGGGGAGGCAGCGGAACGAGTTCACCGACAACGTGCTGCTCCTGCTGGAGAGGCTGCAGCAGCAGGAGAGCGCAACGCCGCGGGCTGGCACCCCAGAGGCAGCTCCTTGACAGGCCTGCACAGCACCTGGGCGGGAAAGAGGAACCACCAGGATAGTGTTTACCTGGGAAAATCCTGTCATTTAGGCCCCAAATCATTCTGGGGGCAAAGGAAGGATGGCCCAGTGTGGGGTACTGGCCAAGACACCCTCCCCGTTGGGTAGAAGTCTTATTTTTTTAGTGTTTGGGGATCAGATGGGTACATTGCCCCAGTTCCTCCTGGTTTGTATTTCTCTGCACATGGTGCTGGAGAGAAGTCCAAGGGTCATAGCCCACCTACTTCAGGTTCTTCAGCACAAGAGAGAGTAATTTTCCAGAAATTACTTCCCAACACTCAATCCTTGGGTGGTGCCCCTTCAGCACCCCCACACCCCTCTGACCTCCTTGCAACTGTGATATTCCCTCCTGTTCTCGGACGATTGCCAGCTCGACACAAAAGCTTTTTCTGGCCTTAACCCTTCCCAGGAAGGGAATCCTGTTTGGGGTGCCTTTAAAACCTTTTCTTTTAAAAAGTGGTTAATAGAAGAAAAAGTTAAAATGTATTTCCAATAAATTCCTCAGCAGTATTACTGGCAAGAACGACATCCTTTTGGAAACATCAAGGCTGTTCCTTGTAGTTTGCAGTTTGCTAAAACTTGCTGCCTGAGTTCTGCTCCCCAGTTCTCACCACTGAGTGCAAGTGATTCTTTAGAAAAATGGCCAGCCTTGATTTACACCTTGCAAGTAATTTAAGACTCCTCCTCATTCCCAGATTGCCTGCCATCTCGCAGGCCATTTTTTAGACCTCTCAGATTTCTAATGCCCACCCAAAAAGAACTAGATGAAGTATCTACCAGTGCCGCAGTATGGTCTCCCAGGTGGGTGCATACGTGGTCAGGCGATGCAAGGCGGAAACATTAGGTCTGAGCACGGTGGTACCACGGCAGTGCCACGGTTTGCTTGAGTGGGTACAGTGCAATGCAGTGAGCAGAGAGGACGACGAGTCTTTGGGGCCCCTGCCAAAGCACCTCCCCTCCAGAACCGGCACGGGCTCACGGGTTGCCTGGAAGCTGCGATAGTGTACTCCGGCTCCCGGGTCCTCCAGGCTCCATCCTCAGAGACACTCTGCAGGTGCTGCTTTACTCGACTGCTCTCGGACCACGTCGTCTCCTGGATTCGTGAGCTTCAGCCAGAGCTACTTCAGGCAGCAAGCTGCCTCCCGGCAGGCGCTGGTGCAAGTGTTGTGCTAGTAAAGCAAAGGGACAGATCTTGACTGTAAATTTGGAAGCAAGCTCAGCAATGCAAAACCTAAAGCAATAAATGGATTGTGAGATGGAACAGGCTTTGTGCATCGCCGTTGGGGATCCCAGGTGAGTGTCGAAAAATGTGTCTATATCTCAGCTGTTAGGACCAAAGGGACTGCCAGTGATGCCCACACTCCTCTTAGCTGACATTACCTCCCCTTGCCTCCCTGGTTTTGTTTCAGCGTTACTCCTGGTTGCTTCTCCAGGAAAAACACAAGTCAGTAGCTTTTTACCAGGTAGGACAGGGCTACAATTCAGCTTTTACCCTTTTATGCTTTTTTAAATATATATTCAGTGCTTAACATTGGGTTGGATTTTGTACAAAAGAACCCTTCAGAGTAGATCTGACAGGGGCAGACAGAAAGGTGAAATATTACCTCTGGTCTCCAAAACACCCTTGGGGTTGGTGCAGAATTTTCTGGATTGTTGTAGCACTTGATAAAACTCATTCATCAGGTACACACGCTGCATCCAACCCGTCTCTGCCTTCCCTTCAGCGCCGACTGGAGCTCACACGTGACGAATCATCAGCACCGCGATGGTGCTCCTGCCCAAACCATCTGTTCTGCTCTCTCCACCCACTGCCTCTCCCGGCCCTCGCTGCAGCCAGCAGGATGGGGCTGTCGGGGCTCGTCACGGGCTGCACCTCTTGCCAGGGACGTACAAGTGAAACATTGCCACGGAAAACCTGTGCCACTGTCCTGCAGCTTGGTATCAGCCCCAAACCAGCCTGGCAAGAAGGTCCCCTCTTGTTACCAGGCATCACTGGCTGGGCACAGGCTGCAGACGGACAAGGGGTTTATCAGCATGTGCTCTGCACTGTTTGAATCCGTCACCTCCGGGAAGCAGGAGTAGCCCAGCCTCACTGGATTCACCACAGCTGGGACAAGGCAAGTAGCCATCTGGTTTCGGGGCTGATAGAGCCATCGCCACGTCGCTGCATGAGATGCTGTGCTCGCCGAGACACTGATGGGGCTCAGGCTGCTGTCACACTTCACCCCATGGCTGACGGGGCACATCGCACTGGGACAGCGGGGACCAGGGTCGTCAGGTCCTTAGAGCAGCGAGGCCACAGTGCTGCCATGCCCCTTGGGGACAGGGCAGGAGCCACCGCGCTGTCCCTCCTGTGACACCCCTTCCCTTCCCAGCTGTGCCCATGGAGGCAAATGCATCTTCCCACGCAGTTTCTCTTGCTGGTCGTCACTCACCGGGCAGGACAGGGCACTGCAGGCAGGGAGGCTGATGCCCGCTCCCCCGGCCACCCTCTTGCCTTGCCCATGAGCAGGTCGCTGTGTCGGTCACTGCACTGGTCCGTGCCCCAGTGCCTGGGAACCGTCTGCATTCCCCCAGCCGGGCCTCCGGCACAACCGACTGTGCCGACACACCCGCAGAGCCCCAGCGCCAGTTTCTCCCAGCGCGCTCCAGCCTTCGCAGCTCTCCCGGAGCTTCTCCCCGTGGCCGCCCTCCCCCGATTTTTTTTTGGGTGGCCGGCTCAGTCACACGGCTGCCTGTCACAGCTCTTCTCAGCTTCGTTATCACCCCTGCTTTATTACAGGCAGAGTAAATTGCTTTTGTCTGAAGCAGGATAATGGCCAGAAGAGTGACTGCGTGGAAATGGCATTTTCATGAGACCGGTTCCTCCCCAGCGGTGACTTGCATGTTAAGCTCAGCCCGTCTGCAAGCAAGCCCAGGGGCTTTTCCACTGCCCTGCACGCATCCTCCTCCCCAGGCAGGCCCTGGAGCAGCCCCCAAACCCACCAGGGTCCAGGATGAAGCCGTGGGCAGCACCCCAGGGTGCGGGAGGAGTGCCCAGCTCCAGCCCACTGAGTACCCTCACCATCCCAGCGGAGGGGTCTCTCCGTGCACCAGGGGTCAGGGGCACGGCCACAGAGCTGCTGCGTCCTGCACGCAGATCCAGCGGGGTCCTCTCCTCCGACTCCCACTCCCAAGATTTCAGATAAACTCAGCAAAATTAATCTGTTCTAATAAAACCTGTTATTTTTAAAGCTCACCTCTAGGTTTTGCAAACTACTACAGAACACAGCAATTTGTTTACTCTCCATTTGAGGTGATTTGCAGCCTTTTACGCTCCCCAAAGCGGCTCCTGCTCTTCCTTTTCCTCCTCTGTAGACTGTTTTTTATTGCGCTGGTGGCTGATGCCTCCTGCTCCCTCTCCTCCCCTCAGCGGTACGGTTCGCTGACAAGGAGTGCTGGTGTGCCGCACAAGCCCCCGCTCCGCCGGGGAGAGCTACGGCAGCGGCGCTTATTGCTTGTGGCAAAGCAGCATTTCCAACAACAGCCCCCTTGCCCTGCAGCTGCTTAATATTTTTCTCCCGACAGAGTGCCCTGCGTGCTTAGAGGCTCCCGCGCCGTTTGCTCCCCGAGACCGTGTCTCTGCAGGTGAAACCCACAGCGGGTGGCAGAGGAGAGCGTGGCTCTCGCCGCGTCTGGCAGTCACCAGCCGCACCGTGCCCTTCCTCTGCCAGCGGTGCTGGCTGACACCGGGCCAGCGGCTTTTGCTTTGTTACTCTAACACATGACAAATCACTTCATATCAGCGAAGCGAGAGGCGAGTGCTACGGCGCTCCAGGGATTAATAAGCTGCAAAGCAGCCGGGGCACTCCTGGCAGCTGGGGCCGAGCCGGGCGCTGCCGATGCTGGGAGCTCCGCTCCCACCGGTGGGGCAGAGCCCAGTCCCGCAGGAAAGCCAGCACCCCGCTGTGGGGACCCAACCTCCTGCCTGGCTGGAGATAAGGCCTTTGCTCCAGGAGCCCAGGCAGGGGGTCGGAGCTGGCACCCGCCAGCACTGAGAGGGGCCAGAGCCCCA